CAGCTGCAAAATGTCCACTTGGATTTGGGCATGAAAACTGACCCCAGAAAGTCTCCTCAATTAGCCAAAAAATACAGGTTTTGGAGGGGCCACGCTGGACTTCCTGGGGTCGGTTTTCATTGCTATATTCCAAGTGGAAAATTAAATTAGCAGCCTCAACTGCAACAATGCACGGCCATGATGCGAACACAGGAACACCATGAAGAACATTATTAATGGACACATTTTTCTACCTCTCACTGAGCACGAAGTTTTTTGGCTGGCGAAGGCTCTGGTTCCTGAAGGCTTGCACTCAATGCGTTGCTCTAGATTAATGAACAACTACCCTGAAAAACACAGCGAAATAATAGTTATGTCAAAACGCCCCACTCTTGGTTCCACGAATAGTAACTTCGGTGTCCAACCACGATTTTGTCGACCATGACCAAGTCCACCTAAGAAATCCAAAGGGCCCTAAAAGATTGCGTGATTGGACTCATGTCAGGGGCCCAAGCAGCTTTCCGTGCCACCTTGCATAGATTGGTGTGCCACATGGAACCCTGAGCAAACTGGACACAAAATACGAAGAAAGACCGGCTTCCTACACAAGCTTCTGAAAGCTGGCCTGATTTGATTCAAGCCAACGCAGCGCACTGATCCAAGCCCGTTGTCACAGCTGTGCCGCGTGGAATCGGCAAGGGACATGGCCACTGACTGCAGGCCAACTGTCAGTTAGCAAGTTCTGAAGTATATCAAGCAGTGGCAGTCGTTGATGTTACTGCAAATTGGAAGCTTCAACCGCCCATGAATCAGAGCCAAAAGAACCACATTTTGTGAAATAATTTCAATCGGTCTAGACATCTAAAGATGGGTGCCTGTCCTATACCACATAAGACTTCCTATCAACCATTTTCATTTCCCTTTGCCTTTCCCTTTCGCCCACCGCGGCCCTTGCCTCGGCCTTTGCCGCGGCCTTTGGCCAGCGGTGGAACGCGGTCATCTGCACTTTGAATGGCACGCTGGGACAAAGTCAAAGCTTCTGCCCACGGGACACCTTCTGCCCAGCATCGTGCTGCTGTATGATAAACAATAATTCGCGCGACGGGTGTACCCCGTTGCCATTGCGTGCAAATGGTCAGGCTTCTCCAACCTTGAACTTGGCAACATGGAAAATACAAGTAAGCGTGGCAAGCGCAACTAGTAGGCAATCAACTAGTTACTAACTAGAAGCGCATCCATGGGGCCGAAGAGGGTTTGGTGGCACATGAAAATCATCTGTCTGAAGGCGAGCGAATCCACCAGGCTGAGGGCCACAATTGATGGTGACCCTCAGGAAGAGCATCAGTAAGACTGCGCAAGGAAAGACAGGCATGAAAAAACAATCGTGCAGAAATCGATCGCAACTGAACAAAATGGCAAGCAACGCTGAGACTGGCAAAGCGGGCGCGAGTACTTGTGTGCCGCTGACCCAGTTCTCCAAGTAATCAGCAGCCCTGAAAGCTGTGTTCCCGGTACTCTTCCGAGATTGGGTTCCGCTCAGCGAAGCCTTAAGGGAGACTCAATCAAACAAAATCCAGGTTTTGAATGTGCGTGAAAACAAGCAGGTCACAGTCAATGCGGACAGAAGGCTTGCAGGCACTCCAAGCATGAGTCGTTGCTGGGCGACTTCTCGCGGATAGAAAAGAAACGCGGCGTCGTAATCGCTGTTATGCATCCACCGTTTGGTCCTCGCAGTTTTCAATAGAAACAACAGTCACTGCCTTAACACACTCGTTCTTTCAGCATTGTTGGCACGTTCACATTGCTACACCCCGCCTCAGGATGACATCATCTGGAGAGGGGTTGCAGCGTCGCCAGTAGCTACTGTCGATTGCATCATCAGCTACACCTGCCAATGACACAGAGGTTATCTGAAAATTGAACCCGTGAACTGTTTTGCACCTCAGACTAGTGTTGAGTTTATGCAAGCATGCAAGGCGCTGCAAAGATGAACGTCAAACATTGCTCTATTGGTGGTCTGATGCCAATCTCAACCCGACTGGAACGTTTCTTTCGTGGCTAGCAATCATAATTCTAGGGTGTATGCTGGAGATCTGGAAATTCACTAAGCGGGACCATCATGTCAAATTAATTAAGCAACTGTTTGTTGAAAAAGATGAAGACAAGTTGAAACAACAGGGTTTTGAAGAGAGGAATGCCTGCGTCAGATCTGCGTTGCAGGTGAAACAAGTGCGGGGCACCTGGCCCTCCCGTGCCGGTTAAGGACACTGGAACTGACACTGCATAAAAAGATCTCCTTGGAGCGCGAAGTCAAGTGAAGACCTCTTAGCCATGAGTTCAAAACGTTTGCAACGCAACCAAACCATAGTCACAGTGACTAGTTTCTTTGCGCAAACTCAAAGCGTCCAGTCTCGCACCTGATCCAGTTTGATACAATGGCGATCCTTCTCGCGCAATTTTGCTTGTGCCAAGAATTTGCGCACCCACTGCACAACGTCGTCAGCGGTGAGAAGCTTCTTGGCTTTCAGTAGATACCGGGATACAGATCCAAATAGCTGATCAACGTCTTCGTGACTGTGTCCCGACCGAAGGTGCTGCATCCTGACGGAATGCAGCACCTTGGCCGAGACCAGTCCCGCTGCCCACCTCAGCGTCATGCTGTTCTTCAGCTCTCTGCTGGTGTTGTCACACGGTTCGCAAGCAGATCCCCTTCTGTTGGAGGAGTTCCAACCCAAAAGATATCAATTCCAATGACGCGTTGCTGTCCTTCGCCACGTTCATGTCCGATACTGCGAACACAACATCATAGCCGTGTATTATTAGGCAGCTGCAATGAAGTCGGGGACGCTGGAATGTTGAGAATTCCTTGGATTTTGTGATTGCACATCTTGGAATTGCATATTTTGATTGATCCATACCATCACAAATACATGTGATGGTATGGCCACCACCTCTGCTCAAACCTCTGTCGGCCCAGTACTGGGTTCGGTCCAAGTATTGCGCCCTCAAATGCAATGCGTAAAGCCGCTGTTGGGCGGCCTGGGCCAGCAAGTGGCCACTCAACATTTTGACCAGCGCACGATGCCTTATGCATGTGGTGCATTCGTGGTGCAAAGTCTCCGGGCGGTACTTTAAAAACGGGAACTCGCTCTGCCACACCTCACTAAGTGTTTCTGAGCGTTTGGAGGCGCAAAAAATCTTCAATCGGATTTTATGCTAAGAATCGACTGCGTTGGCCAAAAAAACTTTTCTGTCGCTAAAGGCAGGAAACGCGCCAGAACGATGGGAATGAAGCAGGTGCCTGCAAGTGAGATGCCAGCCTGTACTGTTCAAATTGGTCCTTCATTCGGCCAGGTGGTAAGTAGCGGTCCTCTGGACCACCAGCAGCTGAGGTTCTTTGGCAGAAGCTCCACACCTTTCGCTCGTTTGCGTGGCTTCTTTTTCTTTGCAGGGCGGGTCAGGCTGAGCTTACCATTCTGCGCATCAGCCATCGCTTTTGCGTACGGGTCTTCTTCCGCGCCATCACTACCAGCTCGCACGTTCAAAACCAACTCCAACTCTCCCGACTCTGCAGTGTCGTCACGAACGTCTGGCAACGTTTCAGCACAGCTGTTGTAGAGGTTCCACAAAAAGCTGGAGACATCAGCTCGCACATCAGAGCCACCCATGCGCAATCGTGGCTTGGTCAGATATCGCAAGTCCACTGGTGGACACCTCTCGTTGTTTTGGACTGCGGTATACAACTTGCGAAACCTTCGCGTTCCTGAGATCAACTCAGCATACAATGTCAACAAGCATTTGTAAGGAGAGCAAGGAACATAACCCTGGTTGAGGGCTGGGTTAAACATCTAACACCGGGTCAAAACGGTGGGAGAATGAAGTCATACAAAGGGTCAACCAGCAACCGTCACCGAAAACATCTTCCAACAAAAGGGGTGTTGTCTGAGGATTAGACAGCGCTGTAACCTGGCTATCAATGTGCTTAGCTAGGTAAAAGCTCTTGACAAAATGCACTACTTAAGTAAATCCTGAAGCAAAGAGCTCAAATCTTGTAAACGAAGCCATGTCCGAAGGAAAAACTGTTTTTCCAGCAATGTCCATGCGCAGAAGCCAGAATCCTCTGACAGTCTGTTGACCTCCCTGATGGCATCAAAAACCTGAAGAGTGGACATAGAGTGAAGAGTGGACATAGAGACTTTCACAAAATTATCGCACTGACTTAGGAAGCAAGAATTCCAAAAAACCCAAAAACGACCTCAGGCGAACCATGACATAAGCGAAGAAACAAAGCTGTCTTGATCTAGTTTGTGAAGCTCATGGTAAGTCTTTCGGTATGCCAACAGCGATTGAAAAGCATCTGCAGCCTCAAACTCCCTCAGGCAATTGCGTCTCTTGCATTTGCAACGCGAGCCCACCAGAGCTCGTAGCGCAGTCTCTTCTTTGACTTCTTTCTGTCTTGGATTCTCTTCTTCTACTACTTTCTTTTTTCGTCTTCTTTTCGGTTTCGGCTCTGGAACAATGTCTTCTTCGTCCTCACTCTCCGACAGGCACACAACATCTCGGGGCGTGAGAAGCGAGCATCTCTGGGACAAGTTTCAAGGGGTGGCAAAACAAAGACAGAGGCCAGGTTGCACCCGACTTCACCATGCAATGGAATAGTAATTTACACAAAAAGAAAGACTTGACTTAGTCACCAAGTGTTTGCATTGCACTGTGTCACAACCTTGAGCCTTTACATACTGGCGCTGGAAAGTGAAAGGCGTTTCAAAGCATGAGCGAGTATGGCCAAAACCAATGAAAGCTGTGCTCAACCAACACAATCAGAACCTGAACTCAGGAAAACAATCCAAAACATGTAGCGCTGACAAGCGTGCAACTAGTGACAGCTTGCGCAAAAACATTTCCAATTCACTCTTGAGTTACGCGAGCAGAACACTTGCCATTCACCTTGCCTTGAAACATCCCAACCCATGGCACCCCACATCCATACCAACTTGAGGTGGTTCTGGTTTTACTCACATCGAGCATCTATTAAGTAAATCTCAGGCCTTCCTTCACTGCTGACTCATTTGGCCAATGTCTCGTAGAAGGTCTGCAGTGTTTGCAGCTGGAGGCTCAGGCTCGGGACAGTCACGGTCTGGGAAGCCTTGATTTCATGAGAACGGAGAAGCTTGCAGAAGTGGTTGGACAGAAATTCTCCAACCCATGTATTATATTCAAAGAAACCGCATTGTTGGCGACGAGCAAAACCTTCTACCAAGGCGGTAAACTTGATTGCGCTCATCCGGACCACTGATGTCAAAGCTTTTGATTCCTGACTCAAAAATTCAGGAGGGTCCTGAACAGTCAAATGATCACCTGGCAGCACTGCAATCAGTGAGTGTGATTCAACCCGAAATGGGTGAGCGCTGAAAATCACTGGAGCATCAATAAGGCTTCCTCCTTGGTGATCTCTGGAAAGCTGGAAACGTTCTTGTGAAGGAGCCTCACGACACAAGACATGATCTGATGACATATCATGAAGCTTACTGTAATGAAATTTGTAGTTCCAATCTCATTTGATGAAATGCGCAATTCAGAAACCATTCCTTTTCCTTGCTTAGATGAGTCACGAGATCACGCTTTTCGTATCCTGCGCGTTCCTGGGCGCAATCAAAAAGCAGCAGCGTTCTTCTCCCAAAATCTCCGCTGGTCCTGCAAAATGATGTATTGCGCGACAAGAACTCTTGGGGAAGATTCCAAACAAACATCGCATCAATTTGAAGACTCACTGTGCTCAAAAACATGAAAGGGAAATCGTTTTAGCCTAAAGACATATTGCTAAAGGCAACCACCACCACATCGCCGTCATTCTCCGCACAGGTCTTGTTCATGGCAGCCTGCAGATTCACAGACTCACCAATTGTTGAAATTGACTGGGCCAATCACCGCCAAGGCGTCAGCTTTGCAAATATGAAAGTTGCCAGCGGCAGTCTGGCGAGGGCCTGCGCTGAAAAAACAACTTCATTTCTTCTCAAACATTTCAACAGCGCTGTGTACACTGAATAGTTACCTCAGGTGTTCCCAGCCTTCAGAGGACTGAGCAGGCGACGTTGCTGCCGCTCTATTTTTCTTTCCCCGACCCATGAAATTGCGAAACGAATCTAAATTCTAAACAACAAACTGTCCACTGCCAGCCAAATCTAAGCGGCGAGCAATGGAAATTCATGTTTCGTCCATTTCCATCAGCTTTCAAAAAATGACTTGGCTGCCAACAACTCTGAAAGTAACAGCGAATTTGAGGGCGTGGCTGGCTGAGACCTAAATCTAGGCCTCCGATCCCTGAGAACATGCTGATCATGCTCTCCTTGCCAGCCTGCCAGAAGAAAACACCACCAAAAGCTGTTGAGGAACTGTTCAACAAGCCTTGCTCAAAGCATCGGGCCAGTCTTTCTTGAATTGGACTTTGTCCACTGCATCACATCTTGGGCTGCTCCACCCAGCAGGCAAACCTTCCCAATGGTTCAAATGTTCAAAAGCAACATCAAACAACGTAGACAGTGATCAATCGCCTGAAAACCACTCAGCTGCGCTGCAGCTGAGAAATCGCTTTCCTGGAGACACACCATGGTCGCGGATGGCATCCTGGTACTTCTGCGAGAACTTCACCTGGTTGGCCAAGTCCTCAAGTGACATGACAGTTGATCATTCATCCAAGTAACATCTACAGTTTCTCAGGTTGTGGCACTCATGGCTCTCTGACTGCATGAGCTCGCGTTCGAGGTTGCTATGGTGGTGCCACTGAAACAACCTGAGGGAAAGGTGAACCAACTGGTCCTCACCAAACACCGTCGTGAACAGGATTGGGGTTCTGGCGAATCGTGCTCCAGGAAGTGAACCGTTTCTCACCCTTGAAGACGCAAGCTCCCTTCTTGGTCTTGAGGTTGGTGGAACGCTGAGCAACCACTAGATCTAACTTAGGCGTCTTTCCGAGCTTCAGGTGGAAGCGGCGCACGGATTGGTTCAAAGCTGCTGCAAACACGGGTAAAACAGAAGACTTGAAAGTTCCAAACCTGGCACAGGTTCCAAAACCATGCTGTGTCCTCCTGCCCTTGGCTTTGGTCTTTTTCTTTACAGCTGTTACCTGCAACAGGCTGGCTGCCAAGCGGACTAAAATACCCAGGAAGAAAAATATAAAAACGGAATTCGGGAACCTTACTGCGTCCACGTGCAGCTGGCTTCTTCGAAACCATCACCAAGTGGTCTTATTAAAATACGCACCTTCACCAAGTGGTCCACACACCTTTCAGATGTCTTCTTGAGTGCCAGGCTCAGAATCTGTCAGTTTCTCCACAGGCCGAGGCATGGCGAGCCAAAAGACACCCCGTGGCCCGTCGGATCAAAAAAGAAGCTGCGTGGAACCGGCAACGCTCCACAACTTTGTTTGGATTCTTCTGCTTTGCTGCGTATGTTCCTCATCAATGAGGGACATCTGGCCATAACAGACCTAGTAGATGGCCTGAACATTCTTCAAATTCTTGTACACACTGCATATGTTGCATGTACATGTACATGTTCTACACAACTGCTCAGGCAGCATCATACCAGAAAAACGTTTTTCCTTTCAGGGCGCAGATTCAGTGTTGAAAGCAACATAGCTCCCAATCGCTGATTGTGTTGCGGTGCTAATATCCAAAGGCAATTTAGAACACCCAATCACTTTGGAACACCCATTCACCAGAAAGCTCTATCACAACGGAACAATTTTGGAATGTGATGATCATCGATCGACTACGCTTGGCTTTGACCCTCAGCTGACCGAGACAATTTACCTGTTGTGGCTAGTACTATGCCGCTTAACCAGCCTGATCTGGCGCCGACCTTTGCGCTAGCCTTCGAAAGGCCTTGACGAAATGCTAGGAGATCGCTTTGCATAGCTGCATTTTTGGCCGCCACTTGGCTAATATGACCCACGAGGTTGGGCTTTAGACACACCCGATGTGTCCGGTAGATGCCTTTTACTGCAGCCCAACACGAGCAGCCTGAAGCGGCTGCTGGAAGATGAAATGAAATGAAAATGAAATGAATAATTACACCAGCATAGACCCCAGATAGCAAAAACATGCAAAAGATTTTTCTGGAATGCTGAATACTAAAAGCCTACCCAGCACCAACAGCACTGGCTTCCCAACCAACATGACTCATGACATTTTCAATTAGCGGTATACCTTCGACATCCGTTTCCAAAATAACCCTCTGTCAAACTCTAAAGAAACATCATCTTCACACACTAACGCATATGGATGTTCGCAAAACTCCAACAACCACATCCACAGCTTTGGAATGAGAGCGTGCGAAACAACGCTGGCCTGCCGGCGCCCAGCACCGGCACCCTGTGTCTGCCACGCACACGGCCAGCACCAGCACCCAGCGTCCACAGCCAGCACCAGCACCCGGCACCGGCACCCTGTCTCTCCACCATGCCCACCCGGCGCCGGCACCCAACACAAGCACCCTGTCGAAGGCATACGCAAACAACCAGCACCCGGCCCCGGCGCTGTCCCCGCCACGCCCCAGCACCCAGCACCGACCCTGTTTCCACTACCAGCACCACGTGCACAGCCAGCTCACAGCACCAACACAAGCACCCGGCACCCAACACCAGCATCGGCGCCAGCAACCTGTCTCCACCGCGTGCACAGCCAGCTCACAGCACCAGCACCGGCACCCGGCACCCAGCACCAGCAACCTGTCTCCACCACGCACACAGCCAGCTCATAGCACCAGCACCAGCATCGGCGCCCAGCACCGGCAACCTGTCTCGAAAGCGCGCGCGTGTAATTCATTGTTATTTGAAGTAAGAACCCCCTAGCTTCGCTATCTGGGGAGTATAAAATTGATGATAATGATAATGTAATTCTATGATATTTAGAAATTGATGTTCGATAATTAGCGTGGTTGATGTTATTATTGAAAATAGTAATTGCGATATAGTTTATATATGTTGGTTCGATATAGTTTTATGTAAAATAGAATATGAAGCGATATGTTGTATTTGCAATGACAGGGGTTCACACCTGGATACCTGATGGTAAAGGAGCCTGGTTCCCAAGGCTTGCAAACAAACACAAAACACGGTTCGCACTGTTTCTCTTCAGGGGCGCGCCGCATGCGCGCGTGTCAGCGCTCAAGGGCCCTCACGGCCGCGGGAACAAAGGATGCAATCATCCACGAACGAAAGAAATCTTGCACTCCCTAAAATCTTCTTTCTCGTGAAGACCCGCTGGATCTGATCGCGGATCGACAGCACGGAGTGCAACCAAACCACGGGTGAGGACATCCCTCAAAAGGTGAGCTGGCTTGACCTTCGTTAGATGGTCTGCCAACTGGTGGAAAGTGTCAATCCACCTAAACACCGAGCCCAGCTTCTCACCCTCAGGATCGAACTCGTTCGCGGTCTCCTTCAAGCCGCCGATGTCGATGGCCAGCCTCTTCTCTTGGGTGGATGCCAAAGGACCATCCTTGATGAGGATGTCATACAGCGACCGGCAATCGGTCACAGCCTCAACTGGCACAAAGTTGGGCGGCAACCTTCCGCTCTGGAGCGGATTGTAGTCCTCCACCATGATCTCGGCGAGGAACTCACGTGCAAACACTGCCGAGTCCATCGCGGCATCCATGGCCATGGTCTCACTGGCCAGCGTTGACCGGCATTGGCGCCGGATGCGGTGGCTCCTCCAGTCCAACAAGGAAGCGAAGTCGCCCTCCAAGGAGTCCACGCCGCTGCCTGCCAGGAAGACAAGTAGTCCAGCTTGTGACTTCAGCTCAGCTGCATTGGCCCAACTTGAATCGCTAAAGGCGATGAACTTCGCCTGCTCCATCGGGAGGGGCCTGAACATCAAACCCCAATCAGCAGTTGACTGGGCCTCGATCACCAACTTGTTGAGCTGGATCAGGTTGGACGCTGTGGGCTGTCCAGACATGTACAAAGACGCCAACTAGCCAGTGGAGACAGCCGCCAAGCGAGCGTAGCTCTGTATGCTCTTGCGGAAGCAAAGGAGCATTTGGCGTCGAAGCACGCCACTTGGGAATCTTGGTAGTCGAAGAAGCTTGGATGAACTTCTTCTGCGTGAGCTTGACGACGCCGTTCTCCTTGGTGATCTGCTTCCCTCCGTACTCCAGGACTTCATTTTGGCGTGAATCCGCCCATGAACCGAAGTCAAAGGTCTTCTTGAGCTCCTCGAGGATGGCATCGGCTTCGGTAGGTTTTCCAGTGCCAATCAAATCATCCACGTGGGCTCCCAAAACCAAAATAAGACGGCCCTGGCGGTAGTACATGAACACAGCGCGGTCCAAGCGCGACTGCACGAAGCCCATGGTGAGGAGTGTGTCCCTCAAGTGTCGCCAGAAAAGGCGAGGGCTATTCGCAAGGCCGAAGATGCCTCGCACCACCAGGAGCAGTTGACCAGGTTGGAGTCCAGGAAGTCCTTCTCGAGGTTGGCGAAGGTACAAAGGCTCCTTCCTGCTTGCCAGTGACTGGTCGCCCTGAAGAAAAGCTCCAGTGATGTCGGAGTTGAACAGGAACCAGCCATCATGGGAGGCGCAGATCTGGAGGATGAGCAGTAGACCCAATCGAGTCATAGTAGGTGCATCCCTCCTCAAAGTGAGAAGGTCCGGGTCTCTGTCTCCTCAGCACACGATGCGTGCCTTGTGTTTCACTGCCATCCAAGGGTAGGCTGCATTCTTGTTGCGATAGCAGACCCTTGAATCCAAGATCCGAGCTGGATCTGTGTGGTCCTCCACGTACTTGGAGGCTTCCAAGCTGATGACCTCCACCGCCTGGTACTTGGTCCAGGTGTCCCACTCCTTCTGCAGGGCGTCGGCGTAGCCTTGCCGTTCTTCTTCAGGAATGAGCCGCCAGGGGATCTCCTTCTCAAGGGCTTTCTGCTGCTTGCGAGTTTGTGCGACCCAGCGCACGGTGCCATTGCCCTTGACTTGCAACCTCATGCGAACGCCCCATAGTGCTCCACGTGGTTCGGAGTCCGTGAACTATGAGGAGAAGAATGACATCGAGCCAGACTATGAGCTCATCATGGAGGATGAGACGGATGAGAACTATACCACGACGACTTCACCATCCAGCACCTGAAAGATGAAGAGAAGAACTACATGGTGAACCTCATGCAGGACCACTTCATGGACCCC